TAGGGGGAGTGAGTGAGCAGCTGCATAGTGCTTAGTTGCTGACTGGGGCTAAACCACGACAGAGCTGCAATTTCTTTTGCAGCAAATTAAAGCATCCTTAACCAGCTCAAAAGAAGAGAGACCAATCAAGTTACAGAAAGTGCTCCCCACCTCCGGAAGCTGTGGGAGACGCCTCCTTCTAGCATGCACAGCACTAAGGGACTAAAGCTAGCCAGACTTGTCTTCAACTAATATAGCATTGCTAGTGAGTCTTGTGGTCCCCTCTCTTTTTCCATTCACCCTGGATAACGTTCTGTTGCCCTTAGCCATTGGTCACTGTTCCTATTTTCAAGTTTACAAAGAAACCAGTAAGATCAAAACACAAATTATAGACTCTCCAAAGCTCCAGATATAGGCAAACCACATAAACAAAATCACACATACCTAGGTGGACAAGTTTCGCCAGGGTTTCTGAGTGATCAACATAATCTCGGAGTGTGGAAGATTGAAGGGGAAGAAGCGGTTCTGCAATGATCTGTACAGCTTCTTCCTCAGAAATCTCCTCCAAAGCAGATGAAGGTGGGATGTCATCCCAGTCTAAGAAACAAATATAAGGGTCCCAAATCCATTTTGTGAAAGACAAAGCTGCTGCCACCAAACGCTGTACAGATCTCTTAAAATCCATTTCAAAATGCAAGAACACTGTGCATGAGATGAACAGCCAATCTATTATTATTTGAAAACATACGAAAACATAGACTCTGCTCCCAGTTTTTGTCTCTGTTCCATCTCCTTGTCACTGCCCATCAACTCTTGCTCATGTGGCCGATCTGAGCATAGTACCCAGCAAGCCTGTCTTCAGTCTGCTGCCTTGAGCACTGCAGACAACAGATCCCATCACCTTCTTGAAAAAGAACTTTCTTTCATGTCTTTACAAATGCATTCTTGCCTGATCATACCCAGATCAAAGGCTGCTGCAAAGATTATTTTTCATAACCTGACAAGCCCGCTACCTTGTGCCTCTTCTGAATCTGATGTCTGAACTGCAGTTTTAACTTTCAAGGTATTTCACAGCCAACTCCAACCAAGCTGTCATGTCTTATCCATTACAGAATGGCTGACTGCCACTACCTCTAACAACTAAAGAAGTCAAGCTCCATTTCCTACTCATTAAAGTTTCCAAGTGAACATTATTATGCTTTTTTCCCCTTAAGCGTTCCAAGTCACAAAGCTCAGTGTCTTTTTAGAAGATATTTCTCTAAACTGATCTGTTTTTCCACTGACAGGAGCTCACAGCAACCCCATCAAGATTACTGTTTTGCAGGCTGACTGCTAGCATCCACCTCAATTATCAAACTGATTACTGATCAACAGCCCTAATTATAAACTCTTCATGATGGGGATTTTCTGCATCCTGTACCTTCACACAGTGACTTCCTAGAGACTAGGGTAACACTCTTCCATATCAAAAAACCAAAGCCACACTAGAACTACCAAGGCAGGTTCCAAAGGTCCTATTGTTCAAGGAAGAGTTGCACAGACTAGCTCAATAGCTGTTGAAGGTCTTGCCACTTCTTTTTCTCAAAGGCTCAGAAACAAAAGCACAGCAAAACGTTTTTAGCAACACTTACACCTTAAATAGTAATAAGAACTCTCTAATAACCTACATGGATATCAAGTATTTCCTTTCAACCTGTTGAGGACTGAACCAATATACACCAAGGTCCATTCTGGAAACACAGATGCCCTTTTTCTTGCCACTCTAAGTTCTGTTAAACATCCTATCAGGAAACATACCTCAACTTACCCTCCCAAAAAAAGTCAGAAATTATGTTTATTCCATTATATACACTGCCAACTGGGCAAAATGCTCTACACACACATATACAACAGTAAGTCTGCTGGCAGATAAAAATCTGGCACGTAAATAAACTGCACCGCAGGTGCAGACACATATGAGCTGGCTGACCTGTCAGTTCTGGTGCAGCACTGTTTCCAGAACCAGCTGCACAAACACACAGATCTCAGTTGCAGCTCTGAGCCACCCCAAAAATAAGCTCTGTAGGATCCAAGTTGGCTGGGCTCAAAGCAGAATCTGAACATACAAGACTGCTTAGTAATCCGGTGCAAGTTTCCTCAGCACACTAGAATTATGTTCAGAGGGTGGTATTTTTTTTATCCTCACTTAGATATAAAAGTAGAGAAAAGTGAGGCAATTTCCTCAGAGCAACACCACCAAGGCGACCTTGTATCTATCGTCCTTTCCCCAGGAGACAGTTTGACGAGCATTTCTCATCAGGGCAGTGCTTCAGCAGGCTTCACACTCTGCTGCCTCCTGTTGTTCATCCCTCATCATTCAAACGGCTGCTTTGTGCGAGCTGCTTCAGGGGTGGCCTCCCCACTCCTGCCCCCCCCCAAAAAAAAACTCCAACAAACAAAACCCTTTATTTTGCACCAGTACAACTGGTATGAGGGAAAGGCAAATGCTCAGGTGCTGCAGGTAGAGTTAAGAAAAGAAAAGCTCTTCAAACAGCAGCACCAGACTGATATTTCTACCCAAAACATATCTTTATCTCAGCTTAAAGGTATTCTTTATACGCTACAGTGACCGCAGGAATTCCGAGTTAACTATGGGGCTAAAACCAAGTGAAAGTCAGGTAAGTGTTTTAGATAAACAGGCCAAAAAAGAAGAACCAAGGGTAATCCTGAAAGCATGATTCGGAGATTCGTGAGAAATGGTATCCCTAAGGCCTCTTACCTTCATACAGTATTTTTGCATTCAGGTCAGGTAATGTTTCAGCTTTTGCTTGTTTCTGTTTTACTGGTGAAGGCAAGTTACTTTCAGGAGAAGAAAAGGATCCATCCTTGGCACTGCCAGGCGGAGAACAGCTTCCTACGGATGCATGCCTGCACGCCTGCAATCTCCACGGAAGAACGTCATTTCTAGAGGGCAGCAGAGCCAGAGGGGCGAACCCACGACACGCCTGTGCGGTGCCGCTGCTGCGGCCCCTCAGCCTCCGAGGACATCCAGCAGCAGGGGCCGTTTGCAGCAGGCAGCGCCAGCGGGAGCCCTCCCGAGCCCACAGAGCCATCGTCCGCCTCAGCGCAGCATCCTGCCGGGAGAGAAGGGGCTGAGGAGGGACACAGGCGCTGCCTCGCCTCGCCTCGCCCGCAGGGCCGGGAGCACGAGTGCCAACTCCCTGCGCATTAAAGCAGAAATTGCTCGCTACGAAGCACTAAGCAGCTGCTGCGAGGCTTTAAGCGCCTGACAAACGGCGGCGTCACTGAGGAAAGGAGCCGGCTGCGAGCGGCACCGCCCGC